TAGAATTGATATTAAAAAAATTTACTTTGTTGAGTATAAAGGTCTATTAATTATTTAAGAAATATCAAGCAGAGAAATATTTACTTTTGGCCTCTAAAAACCAATGTGCCTATTTTTTTTACTTGTAAAGCTTGCATATAATTTTTAAACATATTGCAGCAAGTTCGTACATAAAAACTAAACATTTTTCCCTTTGGAACCCCACCTATAATTCACTGTTTTTGAGATATTCCATTTGTAACAACTGCACAGCGTAAACAACCGCATCTAGTCTCCCATACCGGTCAAAATTGAGAGACCACCCATTTTCAGGCGAATGAAAAACGATTTAAAACAATATCTATTGAAAATAAAATTTTTTTCTGTTAATTTTTTGAAAGATGATAAAATTTTGAAAAGAAGAAGATATTTCAGAAGCCTAATATCATTAAAAAGCGTTCATTATTTTAGAAGTTATTAAAATTTTTGTAAAATATTCAAAATGACGATTTTTTAAAAATATCTAAATAAAATATTGGCTAAATGACTTCTAAAAGATCTTGTTCTTTTCAAAACTTATAATCATCTTTCAAAAAATAAAAAAAATTTACTTTCCATGCATTTTATGTTTTAAAATGTATTTCAATCACCTGAAAATGGGTGGTCTCTCAATTTTGACTGGTAGTGTAAAACTACAAAAAAAATTTAATTCGATATTTCTCTTAATTTCAAAATATTTATAGATTTATTTTTCTGAAACATATTTTTTTGCATTGCTTTAGGCCATATACAATGAAGGAACAGTTATTTTGTAATTTATTGCATTACTGTAAGCGCATTGTTTTGCTAAAAGGTTTGAAAATAAAGAAATATGATTCAGATTATACTCGAAAACTGGTGAATTAAAATTTAACCGGTGTGTAGATTCGTCGACATTGTTTTGTACTTTCGCCCAGGTTGGGATATGCTTGAAGGGTACGTATACAGAAAAAAAGGGTATGAGCCCATTGTTTCATAAATTGAGATGAAACGCAAAGTGAAAAAAAATATGTACGCATATATACGTATATATATATATATATGTATATAAATGAAGCTTTAGTGTGCGCAATAAAAGAAGTTACACAACTGTGAAATATCGAACAAAAGTAGAAGGATGACTGAGTACAATAAAAAAATGGCTTTCAAAAATTTTAAGTTTCAATCAAATACAAATATATGTGTATTCAAGGAAAGAAAAATTCTTTGTTCTTGTAGATAATTTTTTTTTCTCCTTCCCCTAAAAAAAGGGGAGGAGAAAGAATTCTCTGATTGTCGTAATTTAAAAGTACTTTTTTATTTTTATTTTTTTTTACTCTCTAGTTTATTATAAGAACTTCAATTTATAAAAACTTTAATTTAAAAAATAAAATAATTAAACAAATAATAAAAATTGCAATTTATAAAAACTTGAACTTATAAAGATTTCGACTTATAAAAACTTGAATTTGTAGAAACTTTGATTTGTAAGAACTTCAAATTATAAAAACTTCATTAATAAAAATAAACTGATGATATAATAATTAATTGCACCGTTTTAAATTATTATTCTAAATACCTCTTTGTTGGGAGTAAGTTAAAAATTAATATCTGGATAGCTGTCCCTATGCGTTAAAAGAAAAATATGTTAAGCTTTTAACATCTAGATATTTACGTTACGCTGAATATCCATTTTTCTCTGTGTACTTAATTCATTAAATTTGAATTAGGTAATTAAAAAAAACTAATTTGATAGTAAAACAGTGACTGATTCAAATAGCAACATCTCTTATACTTAATAACTAATTATTAGTTAAATTCATTTTTAAGTTACATCAAAGTTTAACTAAAACTTTGGTAACTAAGTCTATTTAGTCAATTGACTAAATAGAAGAAAATTACTTATTATTAATAAATAGTAAATTTTAAAATTTACTATTTATTAATGATAAGTAATTTTCTTCTAATTAATTATTTTTTACTAATTACTGTAGCAAGAAATAAATCAAGGTTCATCTAACAATTAGTTATTTTTAACTAATTCAGATTTGGAGAGTAAAAATTTCAGTACGTGGAAAAAATATACTCTCTAAATCTAAATCAGTGAAATTTGTCTGAGAATGGAGTCCCTGAAAATCAGTCAAATTTCATTAATTCAGTTTTAGAGAGTAAAGTAACTTTTACTATTATTTTTACAAAGTGAAACCTAAACTGATTTTTTAACTTCTGCGTATTTATGTCAACTTTTATTAGTTTTGGAGTAAATTTCGCTTCGTTTAAACTACACTTTACTCGGTATTATTTTTACAAATTTGAAAGTCTATAGTATATATGAATAAAAGTATAGAGTGATTTTTACTATTTAAAATATAAAACTTAAATTTTAACTGAATTTAAGAATAATGTAGGGAGTATAGTCAAGATCGGACCACCTATTGACTTTTGTTTATAACTTTTTTTTAAAAATGAATTTGGTCAATTGAAGTATATTGTTGGAAAGTCCTGTTTAATAGAAATATTCTTTCTGTACAAAGTAAATTGATTGGTTTTAAAATGAAAAAGTTATAAAGATTTCAACAACAAAAAATTTGTAATTTGTTTGTTTAGAGTTACGGAAAATTAATCCTTTATTGTTTACATGAAATAATAAAATAATAACAATAAACAATATAAATAAACAAAATGTATAGGATTTAATATTATTTTTCTAATATCTTTGGCAAATTTTACACTGAAATATTAATAAAATTAAATAAAAATATTAATAAGATTATCAATTAAAGTATGAGTTATTCAGAATCGCAGTTTTTGCAAATGAAGTAGTACGTCCTCTTCTTTGCGCATTTTAAGTACAAAGTGGCCAACCTTGACAAAAAGTAATATTACCGAATTGTTCTAACCATAGAGAAATACGTTTCGGGATTCGATTTTTCACTTTGTTTTTTTCAACCATGAGTCCCACAAAATTTCTGCATGCTTGCCTTGACGATTCCATTTTTTTTTATCTTTTGTTAATGGTTTTTCACATGATGCACAAAACTTTTTTTGATCTTTTTTTGCACCGACGTCACAGAAAATACTACTTTCGATTCTCCGAAAATGTAATGGAACAAAAAGTTAGGTTTCACTAAGACAAGCATTGGCGTAGGTGGCGCTAGTGAACTTGTCCAAAAAATCGCGAATGGCCTACCTTGACAGTGGTCCGACCTAGACTACACTCCCCTATAAAGAGAAAAAAGAATTGTTAATATAGAACTAACAAAATTGATGTTGTTGTTATTACAAAACATTTCTGCTTGAACATAATTTGTCAATTCTATATATAATTATTAACAATTCGATTGTCGAAGTAACAATACTTTTACTTTGTGCAAATTCAAAATTTATCTTGTTAACAATTAATACTCACCTTGTTTTTAGACTATATTTCTAAATGAAGCTTGTTTAACCTAAATAAATATTTATTTGAAATTAACATTCAGTTTAGTAAAATAAATTTTGAGATCGAAGAAAGAATTTGGTTGTCTGAACGAAATTTTTAGTTGAACCAAACAAATAATGTTCATTAGCTGAAAAGCAATGCATTTTTATTTGGTTGATTCAACTAAAAGTTAGTTGTTTAAAACAAATTTTTTTCTGATAGTAAACTTACTCAACTTTCAGTGACCGATTTGGCTAAAACGTAGAACTCGGAAAAATAAAAGAAATATTTCTTTTGTTATCGGCAAAGAAGACGATTTAACGGTTGAAACTACCCCTTTTGTTACTAAAAAACTCTTAAAATTACAAAAAGGGTTAAAGCTCTCTTAGTTTATTATAATTTTGTAAATCTGACCTCAAATTCATAATCAGCGACCTCAAAAATCCCTGAGTAACAAGTTTCAAACGATTTCAAGTAAATTTTAAAACTACGACCGCCATTTTGAATTTTGCAAAGCTAATCTCAAATTTGTAATCTGTGACCTCAGAAACCCTTTTGTACAAAAAGTTAAAAATTTTTATTAAACTGAAAGAACTTTAACGGTTTTTTTTAATTTTAGGAGTTTTTTAAGTAACAAAAGGGGTAGTTTCAACTATTATATCGTCTTTTTTGCCGATAACAAAAAATACTGTCACTGACACTTAAGTAGGTTTACTTGTAAAAAGTTACTTTATTTTATTTTTCCGTTTCAACCTTTTATGGGACTGAGGAAATATACTATTTCATAACAAGGTGCAAAAAGTGCCCTTTTTAGCACCGCGTTATGAAAACTTATTATTAAACTTATTATTAAACAAGAAACTTATTATTTCCGAATAAATAAATAAAAAAGGTTCATTATAAATAATATAAAAAATTAAAAACACTTTGTATGGATAAATTTGAGAGGTCAAAAAACCTTAGGTCGATGCGATTTTAAAAATTATGAAAAAAATCAATTTGAAAATGCAAAAGGTACCCAGGTACCTCGTCCGCCTTTTATGGGTGAAGAAACTTTGTTTATTATTTCCGAATAAATAAATAAAAAAGGTACATTATAAATAATTTAAAAACAGTTTGTATGGATACATTTTAAAATGTCAAAAAACCTAAGGTCGATATAATTTTAAAAATTATGAAAAAAATCAATTTGAAAATGCAAAAGCCACCCGGGTACCTCGTCAGTCCCATAAAGGTTAATACTGATTTATTAACATTATAACTGAATTAATGATTAAATTCTATGGTTCAGCATTGATTCGTCAAGACTGTAAGCGTACCACTGCACTGGATGAATGCTGGTTCTGTATTGATTTGACGACACTCAAAATGTACTACTGCTGGTTGAATACTGCTTAAGTACTTAGGTATTTGGTATCACTAAAAAGTACAATGGCTTAATACTTACGATTCCCGATTATAATTGTCCACGAGATCTGCAAAGAATTATATTAAAAATAGATTTTATTTTGGAGTAATTTATAAAAGAGCCGTGAGATAAAGAAAAAGATGACAACATGTATAGTTTAACTAATGTCTTTATTTGATTCTAACGACAGTTAGAATGTCCATTCGTCGTTTTCATATTCACTCATTCATACTCTTATCATAATACACTATTCAGCAAACAAACAATAATAAAAATTACAGGAGATGCAAAGATATCACGTGCGCGTACAAGAATCACTCGAAATTGAAATAGTCGTAATCGAGATGAGGGTAAAGCACGCTATCTGAGACTACGTTTATGGACGGGCATAGAAAATAGTGATCTCACCGTAGACATACATATATACATTTATGTATATTTATTTATATATATTTATTTATATATTTAATATATAATTGTGAATGTCACGTTTACTCGTCGATATTAATTAGTTGGACAATCGGACGAGTACGAAACGTTTGGTAATAGTGATGGTAGGCTTGATGGGGTGTTGGCGTGGTGGGGCGGGTAAAGGGGAGGGCAATCTCGATGGGGGAAGGTTATTGAGTCGAGGAAGGAGGGGGTTGTGGATTCGGGGGTGGTGGCGGTGGAGGCGGTGGTTGAGGGTGAACTTGGTGGGGCAGCAAACTGTGGGCTTGTACGTGACCCGGATGATGGTGATGGTGATGGTGATGGGAGTAGAAGATTTGTTGAGCGGAGGTGGGTGCACAGGATGTGCCGACGCCAACACCAACGCTGACCGGTCCGACACCGACGGAATGCGAGAGAGACGATGGGGTGGCATTTGGGGTTTGTTGAGTCTGGGGCGATACGGAGACACTGCCGGCACTGGCGGACACTGTATTTCCAGCTGATGCATCGTGATAGAGAATTGGTACGCGCACGAGACGCTGCGCAGCGTGAACCATATTTGCTGCCTCGAGATCAGCGGCCAATTGTCTTTTCCACTTGTTACGACGATTTTGAAACCAGATTTTCACCTGGGTCTCGGTTAGCCTGAGGGAGGCCGCAAGACCAGCTCGCTCCGAGGATGATAGATAGCGTTTCATGTCGAATGTGCTTTCTAATTGAAATACTTGCGACCTGGAGAAGACGGTTCGCGTTTTCTTTTTGCGTTTTATACTTCCGGAATCGCGACCGTCGCCGACTTGCATATTTTGACCTGAAGTGCCGTTGCTGTTCCCGTGATGGCCTGTGGAGCCGGTTGATTCGCCTTCGCCGTCACCATCGGGACCATCGTCACCATCTCCGAGGTCATCGTGACCTTCATCACCGCTCGATGGACTTCTTGTCCGGTGCAGACGATCGTCGTTCGGATTGTCGTCCTCCAATTCTTCTGCAATTATAAATTTGAATATGTTTATTAATCGATATGCTTTTTCCTCCTGTAGAGGTGAATATTTTTATTCTGGTTGAGAAACTCTCTTTATTTCTGGCATGAATAATGAGTAAATCAGTGACGTTTTTAGCGACATTAAATTGACATAAGTAAAATTAGTTTAATAATTAAATGATTAGCACAATTTTATTTATTTTGTCAAAATTCATAACTAGAAGTGCTAACAACAATTTTTTGTTTCAGGTGCAGTTTGACAGAGACTCTTGAAGTGGGGTAAGTCACAACTATTTTTCATTTCAGACACAAAATATTTTGGCATTTATACTTGTTAATAACAGTCTACTCTTTATGGGTAATGTCCGCATCAACAACATATGAATAATAGATTTATTCCATTTCTACACTTGGCGGTAATTATAACTACAGGGTTATCAGGTTTGTTTTGTAAAGCTCGATGAAAAGAAGGTTAATTTTTACGATTTCTAACTTGATATTAAATTCTGATTAATTACTAAATGTAGATATCTGTATTGAACCAATTATGGAGTAACTTTTGCTATTGACATAGTGATACCTATTTCTCTGCGGAATTGCTACGCTACAAATTGCGGAATTTATGTTAACTTTTACTATTTTTGAAATAAATTTCCCTGGGTACGAAATATATTTTTCCAAAAATGTACTTCAAATGTATCAAAATTTACTCCAAAAATAGTAAAAGTTGATAGAAATGCGCAGAAGTTCCTGACAGTTTACATCTTACTATCACTGAAAAGTGAAAACCCCATTTTCTAAATTTAAGAATATAATCTTGGCTCCTATTTAAGTATATTTTCCATGTATTTTATTCTTAAAGTTAGAATATAATATTCCTTAAATAAGAAACAGTTCTTAAAATCAGAAATATTTTTATTAGAGGTGTGCGAAATTCGAATCGAGAGAAAATTTTTTTTTTTTCGAGAGAAAAGTTTGCTGCAGAAATAAAAATAAAATTCCCTTTAGTTCCACAAAAATTATATGAATAGGAGTTTCTCATTAAATTCCATATTTTGGTATATTCTTTTGTTGTATACTTCCATCGGTAAGAGAGAATAAAATTACCAATTTGCGACGTTTATGAATAACAGTTTTCTGTAACGCCTAATAAAAATTACATTTAATTTAAATGTTCCAAAGTAGAATTGCTCTGTTAATATTAATTCTACTTTTTGTGCTTTAATAGTGACCCTACATACTTTTTTTTAAATTTTTCTTTTTATCTTTATAGTACTAAAAATCCTGAAAGCTTTACTTTTCCTCAAGATTTAACATTAAATAACTTCTTCATTCTTGAAATGAATTTATTTTGAGGTTTTAAAATCAATTGTTTTATTTTCCACTCAGATTAGATTAATTGAATTTTAACCTTTTTAATAATATAGGTATATATTCTATTTCAAATTTAGTTTTTATATTAAAATTAGATATTGAATAATTGGAAGTCAAAAAGATATTGAATTGATTATAATTGATGAAATGAAAACCATTTTTTGTTTTGTTTTGGTGAAAGATTGAAAGCGCACACTTTCTACTGACAGTTGATAAAAGTTAACAATAAAATGACCGCAAAAATCTATACATATATAGATGATCGGTCATTGTCACAATTCAACGAATTTCCAAATTGTAAGCTTTGTGGTTGTTATTTAATATCCAATATTTGTTACCGTTAAATCGAGCAGAGGTTTACTTTTATTTACCTAAACCATCAATCACTGTTTCAACCGTTTAGCTCTAGCGAACTTTAATGCACATATACGTGAAATTGTTTTACAGAGTGAATATGCTCTCCATTCGGGATTTTTTTTTTGCTTTTTTCAACAATATCATCATTAATTAAACAATTGTCGATTTTATAGAAAATATCGCCTTTACTTCTTTTTTGAAAATAAATTTACGCTTTTTATGAACGTCAATTTTAATTAATTTTAATAATTATAAACTGTATTTATAAACAATAGCTATTCATTCTAGTGTATTGTGTGTATATATATATATATATATATAAAAAATTAAAATATTGTGTCAAATTTTGTTGGGAGTAAATTGTGGAAAAATATGCGGTAAAATCAGTTTGAAAATTAATTACTAGTAAAAAGATATACGAGGAATTAGTTATACAATAGAAGTTATAGTTTATATAAGCAACTAGTTATAGAAGGAGCATAAATTTTTTTATTTTACTGCAGGTATTTTTGGTCAAAAATTTCTTTTAAATTTTTAGAAATATATCCTCAATTTGCACTTTAGTAAATTTTTACTTAATTATTGTTTCATCGCTTGCGTGATATCGTAAAAACGAAAACATTTCTAAATCGTTTTTAGTTGACTAATAGATTGTAGTTTTTAGAGTTTTATCAGACTCGTATTTTTAATTTTCGAAAGTCGAAGCTTAGAAATGGTGGAGAAATTTGTGTGTAGTAAATTTATAAAGTTTTGTAAATCTTTGCTTAAAATTTTAACCGTTTGTAGTATCATATAAACTAATTAAAGATTTCTAAATCGTACAAGGGAAGCGATTTTGTAATTTGACTTTGACTTTCAATTCGATTTTGACTTTTTATCGTTAATTTTTACTTTGACATTCAAATTGATTTTAAATTTGACATTAGCTTTAATTTTAACTTCGACTTTAACTTTTTATCTTTAATTTTGACTTTAACTTTCACTTTGATTTTAACTTTGACATTAAATTTGAGTATAACTTTCACTTCGAAAGTCAAAGTTAAATTTAGTTTTGGGTTAAATTCAGTTTTTTGGAGTTGAATAATTAGGGGATTCAATATGACGAATAGTTTTGAATTTCCAGAGTATTTTTAATTTTTGGAATTCAAAGTTAAGAAATGCTGGAAATTTCCTTCCGACATTAAAAATTTATTTTCACAATCTCATTATTTATTTATTAGCACAAGAGATATGTAGTGTTTGATTTAGTTTTAAAAATTTGTTCGCGTATGGATTTTTCAACTAATAGTGTTGTAGAATAATAAAGGTTTTCATGTAACTCGTGAAGTTGTTCAATTTATTGTTCAATCACTACAAGTTTCCTGAGTTGAGAAGGGAAACAACAAGGGAACGTTAATCGGCTGGTGATAGTAACTTGCATTTTAGAGGTATTGGTAAATGCGTATAGGTATGTAAGTGTAAGTGCACTGACAGTCGAGCGGTAGGTAAGTACTTAGGCGAGGTGACAGGAGCAAAACGATCGACGGGTAAGGCGATCGACGTTGGTTTGTCGTGGCGGAAGCCCTGGAAGCCTTATATTCGTCGTCGTCGTCGTCGTCGTCGAATATTCTCTCTTTCTCTCCTCTACACTTCCAAGTGTTTCATCCCTTCTGTGTCGACCCTTCGATATTCCCTCTTAAACTAACTTTATTATCATTATCTCTTTTTTTCATTTGTTTAGAAAAATATTTCTCCAAAACATCGATTTCTTTCTTCATTTTAACACTCGCAGACATTTATGAAAAATTTTATGAAAGTAATAGGCAGTTTTCTGAATTTTAAAATATTAATATCAGCTTCTATTTTTTGACTCTTATAAAGTAGCTTATGCTAGTGAAATATTATGTTTATGAAAACTATACCTCAATTTATTATTAGAACAGAATTATTGTTCCCACTTTTGTTTTTTGGTTTTCCAATTATTTTTGAACTTTGGAAAATTCATTTTGATCTCGAGGTTAAAAATTTGCTGGATTCATAAAATGATTCTCTCTCTTTCTAGTTGAACGAGACCATTTATTTTATAATGATCGGCAAACAATTTTATTTTCAATGAATTCAGAATAATTGCGTATTTATTCAATATTTTCCGCCGCGGTATTTTGAAACGAGAGTTAAAATTTCATGACAATAAAATTTATTATTCAATATTTTTTCTTTTTTTGCTGTATATAATGTTGATAATAATTAATAAATAACGTATATATATTGTGAATGAAATATTACGTATAGTTAATAAAATTTTTTTTGAGTGTCTATGAAAAATATTTAAAAATGTATTTAAAAAAGTGAATAGATATATTTTCAAATGAGAAAAATATTTTGTTTTCCAAACTAAAGAAAAATGTGTATGTGAAATGAGATTTATAAATTGAATTCATAACATTTTTTATTAATTTTTAAAACGTCACTCAAGCGTTATTGTTATCCACAATTAGAGAGATATTTAATGATGAAGTTATTACAACGGGTATATAATATATGCGAAAAGTAAAGGGGATAATTTCAAAGGGAAAATCATATTATTTCATTGTTTTCATTTATTGTATTTCAATGTTTAATTGTTAATTTAGTTAATTATTTGAAATAATTTTTGGACATAAATATATTAGCTTTTGTATTTTGAGGTTTGTTGAAAATTCTCAATTTTCCTCGGCACGTCGATATTATTTGCCAGTATAATTTTTACTATTAATATTATTATTATCAATATTATTAGTAAATTTTAATTGGTATTATTATTTTGTATTCATATTGTAATTGGTATAATCATTATTATTATTATAATTATTATTGTATAATTGTAAAATAATAATTAAACAATATAGTGTAATTACTGTTATAATTATAATCACAATAATAATAAAAATATTATCATATTAAAAATAATAATAATAAATAATAATAATAATAATATTAATTATTATATTATCAAACGCAAAGAAGTTATGCAAGAGATAAACAAATGTTTTTTTGGTTCAAATAAAGGTTTTATTTGTGTTAAATACTCTTTTACACTTAAATTAGGTAAAAGTAACTTATTTGTTAATAATTATTTTCTTAGTCATTTTTTTACAAATTGCTGAAGCAAAAAGTTAGACAAGATTTTGATAGCAATTAGTTATTTTTAACTGATTCAGATTTATAGAAAAAACACTTTCAATATTTAGAAGCAATAAAAAGGTTCGAATGTAAAAAAAATTTATAAAATTCAAATAATTTCTATTTGATTCGAGCAAAACCTATCTTTGTGTATTTATTAAAAATATTAAAATTTTTTTTTAAATTAAAAAATTATATCGTATTTTGTATTATTGATTTCTTGTCGTTTTTGAGCTAAACGGTGGAGACTGAAAAGAATTATACAAAAATTTAAAATATGAGAAAAAGTTCTTTTGCAATATAAAGAATTTATTTATTGCTTCTTCTTTTAGGAAACTTTGTATTTTGTATTAATTTGGATTTTTCTCTTTACGTGAGAAATTATTATTAATTCAATAATTATTGATTGGTCTGAAAAAATTGTATTTAGAATCAAATATAAATATTCACTTAAATCAGATAATTTTTATTTAAATCAATTAAATGGTGTCTGAAGCAATAACTTCAGTATTTGGAGTAAATACCATTTAACTAATAAAATATGATACAAATAAATATTTATTCGATAATTAAGAAGATATTGTTTATTTGAATGAAATAAATTTTTCTTCAGTGAAAATTTTTTTGGTGGGAGAAGAAAGCTTTTGTTGTTTGTTTTGGTGTATTGAAAAGAAATCTGTGTCTATATGTGCGAAATTACCTCTTTGAGGAAAGGAGGCAGATCCAGGACTGATACGATTCAAAGAACTGACCACCTCGCTGGTGGAATGATGGTCCAGAGTTTGAATTCCCGGAGACGGTCTCCAAAAAGGCCAACCTGGACCACCTGGTAAAACGCCCCGAATGCCATCTGCATCAGTGATATCCGATTGTCCAGCGACAACCGCATTACTTAATGCAGTTGACGCTGCGGTTAATCTTGAATGATGCTGTTGCTGATGAAGGTGTTGAAATGCCGGTGGAAAAAATACACTTCCAACTCCCGCAATATTGACTGGATATCGACCCGTAATTATCGATGACATTAAACCTAACCTGAAACATAAAATTCTTATGAATTAATTTTTTCACTTTTTTATATTAGGCACAATTTTTTTGTTGCAGACATACAAAAAAAATTTCGAATTTGATGTCAGATTTTCAAAATTCAAAATGGCGTCTTTAATATGGCGGATATTTTCAAAATTGAAGCAATTCTATCGAAATTTGTTCCTCGGAGGTTTTCGGGATCGCTGAATCCGAATTTGTCATTAAAATTTTAAAAAAATCAAAATGGCGGATCCAATATGTCGACCAAATTTTTTAAAAGTTGACGGAATTGTCTAAAAATATCTACTCGGAAGTTTTTAGATTCATAATTTTTAATTCTAACATCAAATTTGGGTTCAGTGATCCCAAAAACCCTGAGTAAACAATTTAGACAAATTCAGCAACTTTCAAAAAATTTGTTCGACATATTATGTCAGTCATTACGAAACTTGAAAAACGGACATAAAATTCAAATTCAAAAACCACAAAAACCCCTGAGTTATAGGAATTTCGATCGTATCGCTTCAATTATGAAAATTATTTTCCATATTGACTCCGCCATTTTGAATTTTGAAAACCAAATCGGCAAAAACTCAATCAAGATCACTTTTTTAAGAGAAGAAAAAAATTGTATATTTTCATTTGTTGGTTTCATTTTTAAATATATTTTTTTTGTTTTGAGTAAAAGATAGGAAAACTGTTTTCGAGAATCAATTGTCATGAAAGTTACGCGCTATTTAAATGGCTGTCGCGTATTCAAGGGAGGTTTTATTGTTTTTTGTTTTTGATGAATAGAGTCAAGAGTCAATGACACAATGAAATTTAGACAATACGAGTCAGACACTGGTCAAGCACGACAGTCTATAGAATCACGAATTTCAAATACACGTTACGAATTCGCAAAGCACTTCTCTCTCACCGTATATGGGTTATTTGTTGCTCACAAAGCTATACATGTTTCACAAAAGACCAATCGGGCAAAATTTTTAGGGTAAATGATTGTTCTATTGCTTTTTGTTGGCCTGACGTTCACGCATGTATTCGCGTTTTGTATAAAAAAACTTTTCACCCACAGTTTTTATTTTCAATGAACAAAAGTCGTTCGGTTTAATGATCACTGAAAGTAATTTTTCACTAAATTTTTCAATAAATATACATATGTATATAAAATAAATGCATATAAAATAATTACAAAAAATAAATGAATATTAAATAAATATACATAATTATATATTTTAAAAATGTGTATTCTCTAAATTCGATGTAGTTAAAAATAACTAATTTGGTAGTAAAAAGTGAGTTACTGATTCAAAATAGTAATATTTTTTTCTATTGATTAAATAATTAATTACTAATTATATTAGTTAAATTCACTTTTAGATTTATTAAAATAACTAAAAGTCTTGATAACTTATTCGATTAGTCGACTGTTTTCTCAGTTATTTATTGCACGGAGAGAAGAAAGTAGTCAATCTTACTCAGCCCTGAGTCATAGTTACTAAACAATATGGTGACATTTTCGTTCAACAAAACAAAAAGTAATCTTCACTGAACGGCCGTTTAGTTATTAAGACTACTAACTTCATTAGTATCGTCTACGATATAAATTGTCATATCTGCGATTCTGTTTACAATTTACCAAAATAAAATTTAACCTCTTTTATAATAATTAATATAATAGTTAACACTTTATAAATAATTAATTATTTAGAAATAATTATTATTAATTAATTATTCTTCCAAAAATTTGTTATATATGGGGAACGAGAAGAAAATCAAGTAATATTTTACAAAAATACACTGACGGTGATATAAGGTAACAATAATAAATCAATTTAAAAATTATAATTTCTGTAATTGTTTAGTTAAATAGAGAAAATTATAAGAGCTATATTTCTTTACAAAATATATTTGTCGCATATTTGAATAAACAGCTAAACTTTTTTTTATAATTATTATGATAACAATAACCTAATATTTGTTGTAATAACAAGCATAAATAATAAGTATAACACTGCAAATAAAGTTTTGAAAAATAATATTTTTTCTCGATTTCGTTTAATTTTTAATAGGTAGCTTTTTAATTAATTTTAATATTTTTTTTAAAGTTCAATTAATAATATGATTAAAAATGTAAACAGAATTAGTTTTGTCTGCTTTACTAAGCAGACATTCATCCTTACTACTATGTTTAGTTCGATCGACAAAAAAAAAATTGAACGCTGTTTTGTAACCTTTACTTAATATTTATTTGTCACAACTCAAATTTTCTTACTAAATGCGTAATAGTACAACTCACTATAACTCTTCTCTCCGTGTGACTAATAATTAGTTAATTTTAACTAAGAGCTGAAGCAAAGTCACCCAAGATTTAAGTAACAATTAGTTGTTTTAACTAATTCACATTTAGAGAGTAAAATAAATAACAAAAAATATATACTGTAAAGTATGAATAAAATAATTACGTAAAGTAAGAAAATAAAATAAATTCGTATAATAAAAGAAAATAGAGAAAATAAATTGATAAAATAAAAAAATAACTAAAATAAATTGATAAAAAATAAAAAAAATATGTAAAATAAATTCAAAAAAAAAAATTGGACAAGTGCGAGTTGTACTCGCACTGCAATGGCGGGTTCCGTACACAAATATTAAAACAATACTTGCAACATTTATCGGTAATTGGTAGAATTAAAATAAATAATTAAAAAAAATATTAAAATCATTTGATAAAAAAAAATAACTAAAAAAATTAAAGTATTGTATATCTAATATTGTAAACAATAATAAGCAGAGGAACTATAATTGAGGCGTTCAGTCAAATAACTCGATCTTCGCTCGGCTGAAATTTGTGAAGCCAGTCAATGGCATGAAACATAGGGGGAAAAAAAATTTCAAAATTTCGATATTTGAAAAACGCTATCTTAAAGAAAATCAAAAAGCACAACTTTTTTCTTATTGTCATTTTTTTATAGAACGATTATTTTTTACAAAAAAAAATAAAAAGTGAAAAATTTTTATTCTGAAATTTAATGAAATTTTAAAACATAAATCGCATTATCTACTACAAATATAAATGAATTTGATTGCAATTTGGTATGTATACTCATTAGGGTCTCCTGAAACTGAAAAAGTCTTAAAATTTTGAAAAATTATTCATTGTTTATATTTTTTTTTATTATAAATGATGACGTGTCAACAATGAAGCTTTGTAACTTTCAACGAGAAAAAGTATGCGGAGAAGTTTTGAGTTCAGCAAAGTTGCAGTGAGAAAGTTGTTCCTCAATATTTAAGGAAGTTTTTTGGAAAATTTCAAATAAATTAGTTAACAAACAAAAAAGTTATGTAATTTTTAAAGAATGCGCGCGCTGCGCGTTGACTTCAACTTAACCTATAGAGACGTGAAATATGTCTATTTTCACAATTTTACCACTCACATATTATGCAGTTCATTTATTTCCATGCTTTATTATTTGAATAATAATAATTTTATTTGTTTACAAAAATTAGCACATTAAAAAATTTGACAATTTTTTTTGTTCAACTAAATATATTTATACTTTTCAGCAATTTTTATTTTTACAATTATTTATTTTTATTATTATTATTATTATTATTATTATTATTTATTATTATTTTTTATATTATTTAATATACTGAGAAAATTTGTACTCTTTCAAAATATACTATTTATAATTTCTAATATTAATTTCAATGAAAATGTAGAAGTGATTATTTACATTTCTTTCTATTGTGATTATTTATAAACAAAGCAATTAAGAAATTTCCATACAATAAACTTTTAATTATAACTAGTGTTAATTCTTAATTGCTTTGTTTATAAATAATCACAATAGCAAGAAATGTAAATAATCACTTCCACATTTTCATTGAAATTAATATTAGAAATTATAAATAGTATATTTTGAAAGAGTACAAATTTTCTCAGTATATTAAATAATATAAAAAATAATAATAATAAATAATAATAATAATAATAATAAAAATAAATAATTGTAAAAATAAAAATTGCTGAAAAGTATAAATATATTTAGTTGAACAAAAAAAATTGTCAAATTTTTTAATGTGCTAATTTTTGTAAACAAATAAAATTATTATTATTCAAATAATAAAGCATGGAAATAAATGAACTGCATAATATGTGAGTGGTAAAATTGTGAAAATAGACATATTTCACGTCTCTATAGGTTAAGTTGAAGTCAACGCGCAGCGCGCGCATTCTTTAAAAATTACATAACTTTTTTGTTTGTTAACTAATTTATTTGAAATTTTCCAAAAAACTTCCTTAAATATTGAGGAACAACTTTCTCACTGCAACTTTGCTGAACTCAAAACTTCCCCGCATACTTTTTCTCGTTGAAAGTTACAAAGCTTCATTGTTGACACGTCATCATTTATAATAAAAAAAAATATAAACAATGAATAATTTTTCAAAATTTTAAGACTTTTTCAGTTTCAGGAGACCCAAATGAGTATACATACCAAATTGCAATCAAATTCATTTATATTTGTAGTAGATAATGCGATTTATGTTTTAAAATTTCATTAAATTTCAGAATAAAAATTTTTCACTTTTTATTTTTTTTTGTAAAAAATAATCGTTCTATAAAAAAATGACAAAAAGAAAAAAGTTATGCTTTTTGATTTTCTTTAAGATAGCGTTTTTCAAATATCGAAATTTTGAAATTTTTTTTCCCCCTATGTTTCATGCCATTGACTGGCTTCACAAATTTCAGCCGAGCGAAGATCGAGTTATTTGACTGAACGCCTCAATTTTGAAAATTTTGTTCCTCTGCTTATTATTGTTTACATTATTAGATATATACAAGACTTTAATTTTTTTAGTTATTTTTTTTTATCAAATGATTTTAATATTTTTTTTAATTGTTTATTTTAATTCTACCAATTACCGATAAATGTTGCAAGTATTGTTTTAATATTTGTGTACGGAACCCGCAATTGCAGTGCGAGTACAACTCGCACTT